TAAGGAAATTCCACAAGCGTCTTACTAGAAATCCGACGGAAGAAACTATAGAATGTATTAGATTATGGGTAGATAATGAGAGGGAATTAGATACAGAGGTAGAAGAGGAGGAGAATAGTGATAGCGCTGGACCTAGCGGGACGAGAATAGGGGGTAGTCATCGCTTTCGGGCAAGCTTTGGAGCTGACTTCCACTGGTGCACCAGTTGTCCCTTCCATGCAGTCGTGCTAGGTCCCAGCAATTTTTTATCTTGTACCTATACGTATATATTCTCAGATCCTAATTAACACGAAGTTTTGAATAAATCTGCTTTCTATATAAAATAATCCAGATACAACATACCCGAAATAGATCATTCAACGATTATCCCAGATATAGAACATCCTTATCACCAGAAAATTAAATCATATGGTTTGTAGCACGCCCGAAATTACCTAATATAGACCTACATGCCCAAAATAGATTCCGTACCTGAAATAGATCATGTAACGATTTTTCCAGATATAGAACGCGCATTATCAATCTTAATTTGGTGATCATTGTATATATGCCCCCTTACTAATTACTTATCCCGCTTTCCACGCTTCTTTTTTTCCGTGAAAGTTTTACTATTCTTCTCTAGTAGAACATCACCTCTTGAAGCAGTTAATTGATAATAACAATCCTCTTATAAAACATGGTTCAAATCGATGTCCAAATGGCGTGTAAAGACTGTAAAGCCCATGTCTCTGGTCGATTTGCCTCAAACAGTGATCATGACGGTGGTATATTTACCAGTGGTTCATGTGCTCACTGGGAATACTTTCGTGTAAGAACCTGGACATCTACTGGATGGTTATTTGGTGGTAATGCAAAAATTCGGGGAAATTTTGAAGCCAGATGCAGGTCATGCGGTATTTTTCGGGAAGATTCATTTGGCTTTTGGGGATGGTAAGAATCAAATAAATCCAGCTTTTTATTAATCATAGTTTTAATCTCATTTTAAATGGAAGGCCTCAACACGACCGAAGCCAAGGTAACATTTACTGTAGTAATTGTCGTGCTGGTCTGGTTCACGAAGCTTTGGAGCCCTTTCATTATAAGAGTACTGTAGTGGAAATTCTTACCGACATTACCTCACTTATTATTAGATTTTAAACATGCAACCTATAGTACTATTATATATGAGCAATATACCACCCTCGAAATTGAAATTGATCCATAGCTTATTTTGATTATTATTTTATAAAAAGTAATTTTAAAACGTTTTCACCCACCCATTTCTGGCCATGGAATAATAGATTTATGGAATGTGAAAGAGAAACGAGATTTTTTGTGTAGCTCTGACCGTACAGTTTTCAGCACTTTATGCCGACACATATGTGCAGTGTTTAAAATTACTTGCGCAATCTACGCAACGCAGATTGGAGATTATTTGCAGATCAGAAAAGGAAACAATTTGCGCGTAATAGGTGGCCAATAAAAGCACAGGAGCACAAGTATCGATCAAATTTAGCGAATCTCACATTGGCATTTTGCCTTTGTTTTTCTTAAATATGGACGCATTTGTTATTCGTGAAGAAGTTGGATCAACAAGAAAAGGAAAAGAGAAAGAGTCCGTGCTCGTATCGGCGGCCAGTTTCTCGACAACTACATCGAAAAAAGAAGCATACATTCTGCCTGCAAAAAAGAAGAAAAAAACCACAAACAATGACATCAACCGAAAGCATGAAAAAAAAATGACTGGGACCCAGAATGGAAAAATACTTTTCCTTGGCTTGAAAGACGTATTATTGGAGGAATTCCTTTGTTTATAGTGTGAGAAATACAACCCAACTGCAAAGAATGTGTTTATTACCAGCAGCAATACTTTCCGAAAAGATTATCTTAATTACTATTTAAAAATTAATGATCACAGTAATGCTGTCCGCATTCTAGGGAGACGGTTACCAGATCAAAATGGCCTTTTACAGGATTTTCACTCCAAGCTAACCATGACAAATTACAAATTATTTCAAGAATGTGATATGTTTACTTGTATATCAAGAAATATTTGCCAATATCAGCATTTCCAGATATTATTGAATTGACTGAAATTCATGTCAAAAATCTTGATGAACTCGTATATGAACAATTACTAATAACACTTGCTCCGCCACATATTGGACCTTGCAAAGAAAAAAATCTGAATTCTGAATCCTTTGAACTCTTCTCAAATTACGCAAGTTACATAAATCCTGTTTTGATACTAGTTTTTTGCATGCTATTGCTACTATAATCGAAGAGACTGTTTTTGATGAATCAAGAAGATCCTCTGCGTGAAGTCTTTTAATTGATGAAAGTAATATGATTATATATCGATATAATAAAAGTTGTGCAATTATTAATAAATATCTTGTACAAAATCAATTAGTTTTATGATTCCTTGGATTAATTGAGTTGAAAGAAACTATTGCAGTCGCAATTATATAAAATTACTATATTTTGGAAGTGATGGTGATAGCACAATGATTGGTTAGTATTAATTCAATAAAATTATATAATTGAAATAAATAATAATATTATATTATATTATTTATAAGGCATTCATACTACACGATTGAAGAAATTAAATCCTTTTATGAGCAATTATCATTGTATTACCCATTATTTAGCACTTGCAGGAAAAGACTTAGCAACAATAGTATCTTATTTTATGGATTTTGAAGTTACCATCAAAGATCTTTATACATATTTTGATGTATCTCATAACATATAGCGAAATTTACGAATATATCAAGATAATGAAGATTCTAAATTGACAATTAAAGTTATTTTTATCCAATGGTTATTTCTATCAAATGCAGTATCAAATTTACATCAAATTATTTTTTTAATTATAGATATACTTCAAAATGACACAACTAATAAACTAACTATCAAGTCTTGTATATATATGCAAACTCTTCTTGATTAATTAGATGCTAAATTTATTCTAGTTACAAAGTTTTTGATAAATATTCTTTCTACTATATCAAGCTTATGCAAAGTTTTTTAATCAGATTATGTTACACTTTTGGATATATATCAAGAATTTAATAAAGCAATTGATTTAATAACTGTTAAATTTATTAGTTATCCAGAAAACAATATATTATTAAGGTTTGGATTTCATCTTTATAAATATCTTGATAAAAATACTATTGTTATAATTCCAGATTTTGTCAAAGAATTTACATAAGCAATGGTAATCAATCTTCATTATCAGTTTCCAGATACAAATTTGTATTATATAATGCAAATTTTTAATTTTCAACAATTTCCAATAGCTATTCAAGAAATAAAAACATTTGATAAAGATAAAATTAAGTATTTGAATGATTATTATGGAATGGATTATGTGGAAAATGAAGAGATATTTGATTTTTATTATTAATAAAATAGAATTTATAAAAGAATAAAGAAATACCAAGTTAATTTTGTGCAATTATATATATTTTAAATTTGTTCAAGAATGAGAAATTATATTTTGAACAACTCAATTTATTAATCAATATTCTAATTTAATATAAATTATTCATCTTTTATTAATAATTCCTTTTTCTAATAATAATATTAAATATATTTTTTCTTAGCAAAATATAATTAAAATAAAACTTAGAAATAAAATACAACTTTAAACTCTTAATTCTCATTTAATAATAGTTATAAATGATTATTCTTTAGAAAATTTTGATCTTAATAAAGCTTATAATATTTGAAAATAATAATCAAGAAAAAAATAATATTTATTCTTGTAATTATTTATTTTAATATTTTATTAATAAAATTATACTTTTTTTTGTAAAAATTTTATAATGTATACATATTATATTATAAAAAAAATATTTTCATGCAATTAATTTTTTAAAATAATTTTATATACTGTATATATATTGAGATTATACAAGTCAATCTCTCTATAATCATATATTTTTCAGAATAATTTATATAATACTATAGAAAAATTAATCTTTTATATAATAATATCTCTTTATAATTATAATATTAGTCAGAATATTATTATAAATAAATCTAAGATCAACTCTCTGAATTTATAAGATTATTTTGTTAATAGTTGTAAACAAGATAAAATGTGATATAAATAAGTTTTAATTTTATAACTTATAATTATTTTTATTATTTAAAAGTATTCAGATCTGAGATAAAAATACAGAATAAAGAGATCTTATTTATAAGAAAGAAATGAATATAAAATATAAATAAATTAATAATAAATTTCTAATTTAAATTACATATGGTTAAACAAAATTAATTAACTTAATTCATATCTTAAAAAATACTTTTGTACTTATAAATATTAATATATATTTTGGTTTAATCATAAAAAATAAAGAAAAAATACTAAAATAATTAGCAAACTTAGAAAATAAGAAATATTATTAGAAGTTTATGATAAATATAATAAAATTAGTAAAATAATTCTATTTTATATATAAAGATAATTTTATTCATGAAATTATCTATAAGAATTTTATAGAAGTATTGTTGTTAAAATATTTTAATATATCTATCAAAATCTCAGTTCTAATTAAAGATAATAGCTTACTTATCTGGATTATATTAATATTAAACTCTGTCAAGAATGCTTAATTCCATATAATAATAAAAAATATGATAATTATATATAATTTGAACATCCAATTAAATTAGATAAAGAAAAATATTCTATAATTTTGAAATCAATCCAAGAAGAAGTAGTAACTAATAAATTAATTAAAAAATTAAATATTATTTCTATTTCAAATCAATCTTCTTTACTTGAATTGAATAAGATACAAGAAAAATTTAATATTATTTATTAGATTTAATGAACTTTTATAATAATTTAAAAATTATTTGAAAGAATTATTTGTTAAATAAAATAATAGATACTATGTAATTAAAGTTTATAATAATTAAAATAAAGAAAAATTTCCAGAAAAAGCTTATTTAACTAATATTAGTTATAATTTTTTTTATACTAGAAAAAAAGTAATTAGAATTCTATCTCATTAAGTTATACTAATAGATATTTATATTATCATAATAATTCTTATAGAAGTTATATATTAAGTAATACTTACTCATCTCTTATCAAATAAAAAATTAATATTAAAAATAGAACTATTAATTTTGGATATACTAAAAATATTAATATTATTATTTAAAATAATTAGAAGATAATTATATTATTAAATCTAATTAGAAAATTACTTAACTAATATTTTTACAATTTATATTTATTGAATAATTTAAATCAGTTTCTATCAGAAAAGAATTTGGATAATCTAGTTGAGAAATAACTAGATTTGGATTTACTGACTATCAAGAAGCTTATATTTATTTCTTGAAATTAGAATAAGTTATTAAATAATAAAAGTTAACTACAAAATAAAAAAGATTTCTTATCTAATTATTAAAAAATAATGCTAATATCTTTGCTATTAAATTATATTAACTTGGCTAAAATAATATAATTCAATATAAAATACATATTAGAATTAAATTATCTATTAAACAATAATTTTATAGATTTGCTCTTTCAGATTAATCATTTATATTTGAAAAAATTCAAAAAATATTATATGCAAATATAATCCAATCTTCAACTAGTTCTTGAATTTTGCCTATTATTATAGTTTCTAAAAAAAATAGAAAGAAAATATTTTGTATTAATTACAGAAAATTGAATATAATTATTTGAAAAGATATATATCTATTATCAAAAATTAATAAAATAATAAATTTACTTGAAAATACTTATTAGTTTTTATTTATAAACTTAATCTCTAAATACTAATAAATTAAAATAAAAGAAGAAGATAAATCTAAAATTGCTTTCATCTCCAGAGAAAAACTTTTTAAATTTAATATTATATCTTTTGACTTATATACAATTTTTTAATAAATAATAGATATTATATTAGATGATTATAATTAGAATTTTATCAATATATATATTAATAACTTGAATATATTTTCAAAAGATTTTGAAGAGTACTTCAATTATTTTAATAAAGTATTTTGCAAAATTTGAAATGTTAATTTAAAATTTAATCTGAAAAAATATAACTTTTGTAAAAGAAAATTATCTTTTCTTGAACTAAAGAAGAAATTTCACTCAATTTATTAACTAT